TAGATAGATAGATAGATAGATAGATAGATAGATAGATAGATAGATAGATAGTATTAACAGTGCTAACAGTTTACAACATATTAAAACATTTGAATTTAAGCTAAATATCAATGACAAAATACCAATATGACTAAAGCCATATAGTATGAGAGGTGAGGTACATATGGACTGTAACCAGTTAACAGAAATGTTAATAAAAAACAAAATCACACAGAACATGCACACTACAGTAATTCCTTACTCTGATTCATCAGACTAATCAGATTTATATTATGCAAATGTAGTCAATGAGTGTCTGTTAATTACAGGGACACATAATAAAGAATTGAGCTAAGATATAATCTGTGGCTGCCAGTGGGAGGCTCATTGTCTGTTCAGAGGAACACACCAGCACAATCCTTTCTGCCTGACTAACTCTTGACAGATGATAGACCTGTCCATATTCATAAACATCTCCTACTGGATGAGCCATTTGTTAGTTGACAGACAGGAAGCAATCTGACAGAAAAAATGGAAAAAGTCAAAGTGAGTGTGTGTGCTATAGTCAGTAAGACACGCCCACGCAGCCTCTGAGGGAATGGTGCCAAATCCTGGAAACCAACGCTCTTCATCTGACAGTATGAAAGCCATGCTGTAACCAGCCTAACTAGACTCTGCTGCTGCTACATCACCTCAGTGGATGTGAAAAGTGCTGCTGGTTGTATTATGTGGGTAATTAAAGCATTTACTGGTCTTAAATGCACAGCAGTATAAGGCCAGATTGACAACTATTTACCCATCAGATCTTACTAATTTCCTTTAACAATTTCCCTAAAACTATTCAAATAAAACAGGGGAAAAATAGCTCTAAACTAGTCTTTAGAAAGATCCTTTAACAAACAAGTCTAGTCTTAAATGCAAAAGAAACTCTCCAGTGATGGAAATGTATTATCTAATAACAGATCTAGATAATACAGACCTTCATATTTCAACTTAAATGGATCAGTGCCCTGCCTGTAACTGCCCTGGAGGCCGTCCACCCACCAGGAGAGGCTCCCACACTCATGGACACGCCTCAGTGCTCAGAAAAGCCGGACCACCTCGTCACACTTAAGTTGAACAGAGGTTGTGTTCGATGTGTGGACTCAACCCCTGTCAGGGCTCCTCTCAAACTCTGATGGAAGCTGACCTTCTTCTGACTGTCCTCCAACAGCCTGGCCTTTAGGATGCTTCTGACTGACCATAGTTCAGCTGAGTGTGAGGGATCTGATTGGCTGGCAGCAGGAGAGAGAGAGGGCACCACGGACACAAAGGTCAGCGCAGGACCACTCTGACCGCTGATGGAGCTGCTAAACAGCAAACCTCCTCATTTTCACATTTATCTGAATTTTACCTCCAGGTGACTCCTGAATACACACAAACACAAAAACCACTGTACCCAACGTGTGTGTGGCAGAGGTCAATCCTGAGGAGACACTGATTTTATAGATCCAAAATTCACATTTTTAGCTGGTCCAGTGACAATTTTACTGCTGCTACTACCACTACCACTACTACTACCGATAATACTAATAATACTAATACTACTACTACTAATAATAATAATATTAATAATAATAATAATAATACAACTACTACTACTACTACTACTACTACTAATGATAATAATAATAATAATAATAATAATAATAATAATAATAATAATAAT